ATGTTCTGTAAATGGCAGGAAAAACTCATAGTCAACCTTTTACAAAACAAAAAGTAATAAATGTACCCACTTTAATAAAAGATGGGCATATATTAAATTCATGCACTGAAGCTGTGATTAGTACAAAATTAGTTACTTTCCCCATCCCCTGGTCTGTATGGAGGTATGGACTGTCTATCATGGGGCTGGAGGAAGTAATCAATATCAATGAGACTTTTCATTCACATTTGATTAATTCATGATGCGGCAATGTGAGCAAAAGGAGGAGAAAAAAAAAAAAAAAAAAAAAAAAAAAAAAAAGGAAGGTGGGGGGTGTAATGGTAATAGAATGCAAAAATGATTTACATTGCACCCTAGAAATGGATTTAACATGGTCCTAATACAGATGAAGCATGCTTTTGAAACGTCTACAGTGAAGGAAATAAGTATTTGATCCCCTGCTGATTTTGAATGTTTGCCCACTCACAAAGAAATGATCAGTCTAAAAATTGAATGGCAGGTGTATTGTAACACTGAGGGATAGAATAGCAACAAAAAATTCAAAAGAAATGGATGTCTAACAAATGATGCACTGATTTGCATGTTCATGTGGGAAATAAGTATTTGATCCCCTATTATTCAGCAGGATTTTGGCTACCAGGTGTCTTTCATACAGGTAATAAACTGAGATTAGAAGCAGTCTCTTAAAGGGAGTGCTGCTAATCTCATTGTTACCTGTATGGCTACCAAACTATTACCAAGCAGCTTGGTGAGAAAGTGACAACAGCTGGTGCAATCATTTGCAAATGGAATAAACACAAAACAACTGTCAGTCTCCCTAGGTCTGGTGCACCATGCAAGATCTCACTTCGTGGAGTGTCAATGATCATGAGAACAGTGAGGAATCATTTCAGAACTACACGTAAGGATCTGGCAGCTGGGACCACAGTCACCAAGAAAACAATTGGTAACACACTACGCCCACATGGATTGAAATCCTGCAGTGCCCGCAAGGTCCCTCTGCTCAAGAAAGCACATGTCCAGGCCCGTCTGAAGTTTGCCACTGAACAACTGAATGATGCAGAGGAGGACTGGTTGAAAGTGTTGTGGTCAGATGAGACCAAAATCGAGCTCTTTGGCATCAACTCAACTCGCCGTCTTTGGAAGAGGAGGAATGCTGCCTATGACCCCAAGAACACCATCTCAACTGTCAAATATGGTGGTGGAAACATTCTGCTTTGGAGGGGTTTTTCTGCTAAGGGGACAGGACAACTGCATTGCATCAAAAGGGACAATGGACGGGACAATGTACCATCAATTCTTGGGTGAGAACCTTCTTCCCTCAACCAGGCCATTGAAAATGGGTCGTAGATGGGTGTTCCAGCATGACAATGACGCAAAACACACGGCCAAGGCAACAAAAGATTGGCTCAAGAAGAAGCACATTAAGGTCCTGGAGTGACCTAGCCAGTCTCCAGACCTTAATCAGATTGAAAATCTGTGGAGGGAGCTGAAAGTTCGAGTTGCCAAACGTCAGCCACCAAACCTTAATGACTTGGAGAGGATCTGCCAAGAGGAGTGGGCCATAATCCCTCCTGAGATGTGTGCAAACCTGGTGGCCAACTACAGGAAACGTCTGACCTCTGTGATTGCCAACAAGGGATTTGCCACCAAGTACAAAGTCATGATTTGTGAAGGGGATCAAATACTTATTTTCCTCATTAACATGCAAATCAGTGCATCATTTGTTAGACATGCATTTCTTTTGAAGTTTTTGTTGCTATTCTGTCTCTCAGTGTTACAATACACATACCATTCGATTTTTAGACTGCTCATTTCTTTGTGAGTGGGCAAACATTCAAAATCAGCAGGGGATCAAATACTTATTTCCTTCACTGTATTACAACCAAAGTAGTGTGATGAATAAGAGATGGATTCTGCAAATCTGTCAATGATGATTTACAGTCTACCAATACATCCTAACAGCTGAACACAAACATAGGGAGAAGGTCCCAACTCTGCACACTCCAAGTAGACACAGGACCAGAGGGCCGCAATAATAACAGTACCACACTACTGAGTCAGATATGTAAAGGATGGGGACAGAGTTAAAGTGTAACTAAGCCCAAAAATAAAATTGCACTATATTGCAGCTTACTAGTCCTTAGATGTTCTCAGGTTTCACTTTTTTCTTCATTTTTCACTTGGGCACCAACACACTTCCTGTCTAAAGCTGGCTATACACAGCTAGTGTTTTTTTCAACACAAACAAGGAGGATGGAGGAATCTCAAAATAATTGACTTTTCAAACAAGGACAGCCACACACTGATCGAAGTTCAACCAGTACCTGCTGAAACGGTTCAGTTTTGATCCGTCTATGACCAGCCTTAGAGTGGCTCCACTATCTATAGAGCAGCAACAGAGGCTCTCTTGGACAGCAGCACTGCATAGAGAGGGTAGTGTCAGACTTTACATAAGTGACTAACAAATTAAAAACAGTTACAGAAATAGTCTTACCATTTTGGAATAAAAATTTTCCATAAATAAATAAAAGCCAACTATTGTAAGCAACCCTGTCAGTGTTAAATGGACTACCCCAATACTAACTGACACTTTTGCTGGACAGCCTGGTCTGTTAGAGTGAAACTAAAAAGTCTAAAATTGGAGAGAAAAAAAAAAAAAAAAAAACGCAAGCAAAACAGACAGTCTTTATTGCATGAGCGACATGTAAGTTCTCATCTGCAATATATAATAATAAAAAAAAAAAAAAAAATTTACCTGCCTGCTAGCAGTCTTCTTCAAAACATACACTGAGCTGTGCATTACCAGCTCAGTTTACATTCTGGCACACTGCCTATGTTCTGGAATAAAACACACATACACCCACCCCCCCCCTGACCTGGCCAAACAAGGCGGCCGATGTTAGACCGTTAAAGCAGAGATAGGTAAGTATTGTGGACTTTAGTTACACTTAAAGCATTTCTAAAAAAGGTTATTTTTTTTTAATGTAAAATAATAAACATGTTTAAACTTACCTGCTGTGTGCAGTGGTTTTGCACAGAGCAGCCTGGGTCCTCCTCTTCTCTCTCATCCCCTGCAGGCTTTCCAGGCTCCTCCTGTCTGTCGGGTGCCCCAACAGCAAGCAGCTTGCTATGGGGGCACCTGCTGCTCTGTGTGTCCATTCACACATGGAGCCATGGCTTGGCCCAGCCCCCTCTCTCTCATTGGCTGACTGGCTGTGATTGACAGCAGAGGGAGCCAATGGCTCCTGCTTGCTGTCTCATCCAATGAGGAGGCAGACACCCGGGACAGCCGAGGCTGTCATTCACATCACTGGATCGCGATGAGGCTCAGGTAAGTATTGAGGTGGCTAGGGGAGCTGCTGCACACAGACTGTTTTTTACCTTCATGCAGAGAACAATCGTAGAACTGGACAACCACGCTGTAGCCGTCATTCGGCTATAGCGCGATTGGCAAGTGGTCAAAGTGGTTGTAAAGGCTCAAGGTTTTTTTTACCTTCATGCATTCTATGCATGAAGGTAAAAAACCTGTGTGCAGTAGCCCCCTTCTAGTACTCACCTAAGTCCCCCCTCTCAATCCAGTGATGTGCACTTAAGTCACAGCTATCCCAGGACTCCCTCTCATTGGAGAGAAGCAGGAGCCATTGGCTCCCTCTGCTGTCAATCACAGCCAGTGAGCCAATGAAAAGAGGGGGTGGGGACAAGCCACTGCTCCATGTGTGAATGGACACATGGAGAAGCAGGTGCCACCATAGCAAGTTGCTTGCTGTGGGGGCACCTGACAGGAAGGAGGGTCCAGAAGCGCTGGCAGGGGACCTGAAAAGGAGAATCCGGGCTGCTCTGTGCAATACTACTGAACAGAGCAGGTAAGTATAGACTTTTTTCAAAATAACAAACAAGCCTTTAAAATCACTTTATGTCCTAACAACAGGCTACCTAGATGAAATCACATATCACTGTCAGCTTAGATCACCAGTCCCATAGCTGCAATTTAAAATCAAGCAATTTGTGTGCAATTTCAGGTGTGATTTCTGAAGATTTTATTGCTACTTGTGAAGGTTTTCAATGATTTCCTGCAATTTGCAGTGCGTTTTCATTTATATTCTATGTATGTGAAATTGCAACAAAACTGCACAAAAAGTAATGCAAGAACTACTTTTGCTATTTGCTGCAGCACGATTTCTAATGTTAAGACATTGATATTTACATTCATTAGATGCGCTTTCAGTTGCGATTTCAATTCCCAAAATGCACCGGTATGACTGGGCGCTAAGTCAGTGGTCACATCGCTGCAATTTAAAATTACATGATTTGTGTGCAATTTCAGGTGCGATTTCTGAAGACTTTGTACTTGTGAAGATTTTCAACCATTTCTTGCAATTTATTTCCATTATATTCTAGGTTTGTGAAACTGCAACAAAACTGCAGAAAAAGTAATGCAAGAACTACTTTAGAAATTGCGCTGCAGCAATTCGCAAATGTTCAGAAACTGACATTTACATTCATTAGATGTGATTTCAATTCGCAAATCACACCAGTGTGACCAGGCACTAAATGTCCAAACATTTAGTAAAATTGAAGTAATAACAGACACAGCTGTAGCAGACACACACAACTGTAGCAGAAAAGGGAAACAAATTGGAAAGGGATACATAGGAGCGTAATAATCAATGCTGAGATGAAGATCTTCATCAACAGGAACTCTTGAATTGGTCCAGCCTGCAAATTAAATGCAATCCAAATGTGCAATACAAGGGACGGAGAGGAATGCAGCAGTGACCTCGGGCAAAATGGCAGTAAAGCTGTAAAAAGGTCAAATGCTTTTCATCTCTCTCAGTGCATAAATATATGTTGGGGTCAGATCAGTAACAGCTCCACATTAATTTCATATATCCCATACTGGTCTTGGTTCCATTAAAACATTTACGTTCAAACAATTTCCTGTTCCGTTTTATCTTTCTGAACAAATTTTAATTTTGTAGGAAACCTGTTTTCAATTA